TCAGCGGCGCGTCTGCTTTACCCACATTTTGTTGTTGTTTTTTAGACGGCGGCGCATTGTCAACACAGCTGAAATTTGACCCATAAAATTTCCCACAAAATTATAGTAATTTCGCTAACTCAATTTGATGAACGAAAAAAACAGAAAAACAGGGAGATAAAATTATAGGAAAATCCAGCCGTTGGGGAAATGCGGGAAGTGACCGGGCCGGCTGTGGGAGTCTATTGCAAAACTAGCCAAAAATTGTTTACCCGTTGCAAGGGAAAATCGGGGAGGGAAAACCAGCGCAATTTTCACCAGTATCCAGTTACCGAACTTCTTCTTTTCACTCCGGTTGAAGATGCCGCCGCTGCCGCCGCATCTCAGCAAGGGGATAATGGTGGGGGTTGTGATCAAAGGGGCCCAACCGCATAATTATAGCCCGCCGATCTCAGCGGCCAGCTTTGCGGGCGGTGGGCGGGCAATTGGACGACAGAAAAGCGGCCTGCAAACGCAACTCGAAGCGCTTCATATGAAAGAGCACAGTGGATGATCTCGGTGGGAAATGCTCATCAACTATCGAAATCAGCGGGTAGGAATTACTAATGGATCTTAATTTGCCCAGGAAAGTTTTTTTTTTTTTATAGCGAGGAAACGGAAAGTTTGAACTTCAGTTACCTTTAACTAAAACTTGGAGTGAAAAATTGAATATCAGTGAAGTGAAACAGATACTAAAAATAATAGAAACAACCTAAAGAAAGCATTAAAGAAATTCAATAAAAATAGTGAAGGGGTTTTAACATTACTACCCAATAAAAAATTTAGTATTGCCGTAAACAAATAATTTTTGAAGTACTTCCTAGTCAAATCAAAAATCTCTCAATAAATTCTAAACATTTGTAACAATATTTTCATTTGGTTCAGCTTACATCCTTTCTAGGTTCAAAAAACTGCTATAAAAATACATTGAGTTGAATGAATATTGTTGTAAAATATTGAAACATTTCCTCAAAACATTCACAGCTTGAATCCAGCCATATAAACTGCCCATAATGTTGCTGACTATGGAAATGCATCTGAACTTCCTCTATAAAAAGCATTTGATTACCTCTGCTCAAAATGCAGAAGTTGTAGTCAACCGTGTTAACAAGACGCACGAATAGCGGCGAGAAAGGCAATAAGTCAGGTTGAACATATTCATTTTTCATAAGTTTTTATCACTTGGAGACCACAGTGCCTTCGTTTGGTCATTGGAGATGGAGGATGGTGGGGGGTTAACGTGGGGCTTTCTTGACAATGTTGTGGGAGCACAATCTTCTCATACAACATCATCTCGAGTGGCGCAGTCTCGCTGCTCCGAGGCTGTTACAAATCCTCAAAAAAAATGGGCGGGGGCGGGATGGAAAAAAACACGATTGCAACACGGATATTTCATCTTCTGCTGTGCGGCGATTTAGCCTCCAAGTTTTTATTTTGTTTTGTCTCGATATATGTTTTATTTGTTTTGTTTGTGTGTATGTTTTTTTTTTAGCCACGGCAAAAAGTGACGGCTAACAATTATTTAGGAGGCCTGGTGGCAAGTGTATCTGTATCTCAACGAAATGGTTGCAAACGCATGCAATTAGCGGCGCGTGTTTCTCGGTGGGAAAGGTGAAGGAGGCGTGAAGTGCTTTCTGTGACGGAAACATTTTGCAAATTTTCGCTAGCCACTGCACAGTATTCATTTATAAAATATGAACACATGTACATATATTCGCAGTTTATTTTAGGAAGCTTTTAGTGCCAGCCAGCAAAAAAGGACTAGAAAAGCGGGCCAAAAAGCAAAAAAAAAAATTAAATAAAGGAAGAAAAATGCTAAAAGAGATGGGAAAATGCCTATGATGGTAATGCCGACAGCTGAATAATAAATTTAGCACGGGCGGGCTCTTCGATTTTTCCGATTTCACATCGGTTTTGCTTTCGATTTGGTTCGGTTCAGTTTGGTTTTCGTGGCTAACACAACAACAGCTGACATTGACACTTTTCGTGTGGCCTGGCGGCGCAGAAAAATCGTTTAAGGTTATTTATAAAAGCAAAAATATCGAACAGTCCCCACAGACAAAAATACATGAATGTGCCAAAGCCAAGCAGAGGAAAACGCACAAAGAAATATTCAGCGGGCAAAAAATTGCCTGTCACAGTGAAATTTCCTTTCAATTCGTTTTTGCTAATGCATTGCAGCATATATTTCAAAACCTTTTTAAACCATATGACAATCATTTAGCGGTTTGGTCTAACTAAGCTTAGATATTGTTTTTCATGAATGCATAAATGTTTTCAAGTTAGGCATTTAGGCATTATAATATTTATGCATTTAAAGAAACCACTTACAAATAAATTATAGAAAACAATTGGCACTCGCACTTTTAAGAATTCTATTTTAAAAGCCCGTAAAACTGCAACCATAACTGCTCCTTAATTTTCTCTAAAGAAATACGATTGGAGAGTGTTAGAAGATAATGGAAACTCAAGCTAGGAAGCCAATAAAACTCCCACTAAAAGTGTCGAAAAAATAGACCTCTGGCGTAAAGGGGTTAATTCTTTTTTGCCTGCTTGAAAGCTTGAACTATTCGAATATCCAAACGCTCAATTTCCGCGTCGCTGTCGACTTAACCTTCAACTCGCATTGAAGCCAATTTGCTGACTGTTGTCTTGTTATTTTTTTTTATGTGTTCTTTGTCTTTGTCGCTGAGTTTTTCCCCTTCTAGTTTCGTTTTCACACCTCCGCCCATTGGCGCCATCAAATCAAAATTTATGATGTGATTCTAGTAGCGCGGCGTCGAGTGTTTTGGATTGCCATTGCTCGCGTTTTGAATGAGCTTAATTGTTGCCGATTTCAGAGTGTTGTACACCCGTTAAAGGTCAAATGAGCATTTGGCAAAGTGAGAAAGAGTTTTGGAGGAGGAGGCAAAAAATAAACAGAAAAAAAAAATAGAAACCGAAACCGAAACTGGCAAGTCAAAAGGCAGAGACAGATAGAAACCCCCTGGTTCGGTAGAAAAGCTGTAGAATTATTGGTATCAAAAGAAATAAAAACGAGTTCCACAACTGAACAACTGGCAACTGGCGAGCAGGAAGACGGAGACAGATATGGAAAGAGAGATAGAAGTAGTACGGCGGTGACGTGAGATGCACATGCAATGGATGACATGATATACATAGATAGTTGTGCTCCTCCATACCCCCTTAAACGCCATATACACATACATACACATACATATATATCGGTTGGTGGTGAGCTGGTTTGGGTTATTTTGTTGTTGCCTTGTTGGTTTTGGATGCTGCCCGGCAGCATATATGGCATAACGGTTCACTGGAAAGGCGGAGAAGTTTTCGGGTCGCTAACTAACCCAGTTAACAAGAGATTTATCCGACAGCGCTTATAACTGTGACTATCCTTTTCATATGGGTTAAGCGATCGATTAATCCATAGCGAAAATTCAGTAAAACACAACAGAATCGATTAAATACACAACCGACTATATACAGTTTATTTGTAATAGCTTAATGGGGAAATACCGTGAGAAAATAATTTCATCACGGGGGAAAACACTCAATAATAAATAGTACACAGTAACTATTAGAACTAGTTGGTGTTTGTACGATATCGAATTGCATTCATAAAATAAAATGCTAAAGTTTATTTACTGGGACTTTCTGAGAGGTTTACAGATTTTCTGCCTAGCAACAAAGTGTTTTATTTGTTTAAGCACAGATTGACACCACTTTTATTAAAGTTTTGTTTTGATTAAATGAAAAGTTTTGAGCTGTATACACCTATACTGCAGGAAGTCAAATGAAAAGTCAATCCATCCGTTAGATAATATCGCACCACAAGCGATTGGATTAAATTCATTTCGCTGCCTTCCGCAAAAGTCCATGGGAATTCAACTATGGGAATCCGCAACTAATTCCAGTTGGTTTTGCAATTTTTAGCATGACCTAAAAAAATCGATAAATGGCCCAGCGCATTTCAGGCTCAAAAGGGTTTACGAGGGGCAGGGCGAGGGGCTTTTCACCGGAAGGTGTGAGAAATAACAAGCTGCTGGTTGAGCCACTCGTACTGTTGTTTTTTCAGCGTATTGAACACGTAGGCGTCAACGGGGTTGACAAAAAATAAAAACAACGCAGCCAGGATGTGCACCGAAAAAAATGATCACTGTATAATTAATGTTTTTTTCAAGATTTAACACACATTTTTAGAAAGCAGATTGTACAACAAAAACTTTAACTATCTCTGAATTATAATTGTTAATATAGTGTGGCTTAGAAAAGTTTTTTTTTTAAATATGTCGAAATTGTGTCGAATAAGCTTTCTATCAAATTTCATACTATAAAAGGTAGTAGTTTTTTTCTGTGTTGCACAGAAACACCTGACAGTGTGTTAAGGGTGAGGGGGCGGCCGAAAGGGCGGGTTGAGGGATGGATGGCCAGACAGACAGGAAGCCCGTGAGGAAGGAAGTTCCTGCCGCTGCGGCAAAGGAAGTGGTTAAAACAATATGGCAGAGGAGGAAAAAGCAGTGGTGGAGTGGCACACCAGCAGGGCATTGTGAATGTACCGTTGTTGTTGCTACTGCAGTGTCTGCTGTTAGTATTGTTGTTGCTGTTGTTGTTGTTGCTGGTGTGCCAATTCTAAGCGTTGCATTGGCAACAGTCGCGCTTCGCCGGTTTCGCAACTGAACTCTCAGCTGCTATTGCTCCTCTGCAGTTGCTGCTGTTGTTGTTGCTGTTGTTGTTGTTGCTGCTGCTGCTGCTTCTGCTGCTACTGCTGCATTGCGCGTAATCAGTGAAGCAACAAACCGTGGCAGCTAACTGCAACAGCAACAATAACACGCCAGCAGCAATCGCGGCTCTGAGGAAAAACTTGAATGCAGCTTTTCGCAGTGAATGACACAGTTTCACACTAGCACACACACACACAGAGAGATTCACTTCTTTTCTTTTTTATTTTTTTTGGTGAAGACTCCTTTTTTTCTGCTTACATTTTTGCCCTTTTTGGGATTTCAGTTTTGATTTGCTTTCAAATTTTATTTCACAATCTAGCATAGCATTTCACGAAGGGCAATCGATGTTGCTGCTGCTGTTGCAAATGTTGCCAGCTGATTTAGTTTTTAACTGCGACGCAATGTGATGCGATATAAAGAGGTTGCAACCGACGGCGGCGCCTCGAAAAACAATGTCAAATATTGACGCGGCGATAGACAACAACAGTCCACCATCGACGACCTGCGACCGCTCGAGCGACCAAGCTTGCCAAAGGAAATTTCTACACTGAGCCAAGCCGTCCGTCTTTGACTGACTGCTGCTCGTTCTGCTGCCAGCAGCAACACATACACCGCAGCAGCAACAGCAACAACAGCAACACTAGCAACAGCAACAAAAGCAGCAACATCAACACTCACGCAAATAAGGAGAGAAAAAAGCAGAAAAAACAGAAAACTGGCAAACGAAAGCAGAGCGCACAGTAAAGATGAAGTGGTTGCTGTTGTCGTTGCTGATGTTGCTGCTGTTTTTGTTGCTGATGTTGCTGCTGTCCCGCCAACCAGCAACATCTGCTCTCATTCGCTCTCTCGCGCGCGCAGAGAGCAAATGCCTATACTTGTTTTGCATACAAATGCGTCAGTCAAGCGAGACACGCACATTTATACAGTTTTCGACCACTTGTTTGACTGCTTTGGCTCTCCCGTACTCTATTTATCGCTCTCTGGCATCAGCTGAGCGCTCATGTGTTGATGCTCAGCAGCTGACAGGCGCAGCGTTGCCACTTGGCCGAGAAAGAGAACATGGCTAAAGTTGCACTAGAATAGTAGTAGGATCTACTACTTTTTTGGGTCTAAGCAAAAGGGAAAACGTTTCATTTATTTTTGAAAAGATCTTTAAAGGTAAATTTGTTTGGTAAGCAGTATTTATTTTTTAACGCCTTTTAGTATTGTTAAATTTCGTAATATTATAATGTTGTAATAAAATTTATAAGTGAACAATTTATTTATTTGACCCTTTGCTTTGACCCCTCAAAAAACTTAGTAAATTTAAAAGATTACCTGGGATTTAAGAAATCTTCACTTCACAGAGTACTACAAAAATGTGGTATAGCATGTCTTACTCACCTGAAAGAAAAAGAAAACAAAATTGATTAAAAGAGACCTCCAGCAAGTCCTTATCAATGAAGTGACCCCAAGCCCGCATAATTTGTCCCCCTCTGACCATCAACATCCCCGGAGTGTAATTATCACGCTCCTTTTCGGGAGGAAGACATAAAACCAGAAATCAAATAGAACAGAGCGGTAGAGGAAAAACGAAGAACACAGGAACTGCATTTGATGCCTGACTTACACAGAATCTAGACCCGAATAACAAAACAAAATATAAACGCATCGTCATTCACAGTAAATAAAGTCGAAAACAGGAACATGGTAATACACTCAGGGAAAAAAGGTGCATGAACTAAGGGTCAACGTACCCGATTTTACCCACATAACAATCATTTTACTTCATGAAAAGTTCGAAGATCGCAAGTCTACTTTTATTAGACTTCGATTTAAGGCTTTTTAAAACGAATATCATATGACACCTTTGAAATAAAATTTACCATATTTTTTTTTAAATTTTTTTAAGTGTATTATGAAACAGCTGTCGGTTAAAGAACTGAGAAAATAGAGCTAGGGAGAAGAGGTGAGAAGCGGATAGACGGAAAAAGGAATCTTGGCCGTGGACAACGAGCACCTGTGACCGCCCGCAACGCAACTGCAACGGCGGCAAGTTCATTTGCACCACATCAAAATTTCATCCACAACAATGCACACACACCGAGCGACTAATGGAACATCTGATCCGCACTCTCTATATCTGTATATCCCTCTCTTTCCACCGATTTTCTCCATCTCACTCCCACCGAAGGGGCAATTGCAACTGCAACGCTTGGCTGCTTTCTAGCGGTTCAACTGCTGCCATTTGCCATTACTCGAATTGCTTTGTGCCCATTACTTATTGCAGCGACTGTTGCAGTCGGACAGCAAAAACGGCACACGATCGCGATCTGCGGATTATAGATATTGCGACAAGAGGCTAGACAAACATTTCCCAAGACCAAGAAATTAACAAAAAAGGTAAAAAGACATACGATAGACCACCAAGGGTCATATAATTAAATACAGTTGTTTATAGGACGTTTTGAGGCATTATAAGTTAAGTTCTTTAAGGCCAGGGACTGTGTATAATACTACAAAAACATAAATAACTTCAGCATATGCACACATTTTTAAAATAGAAAAATAAAAACTATTGTTGAATTCAATTATAACTTAAATTTTAACTTTTGTCTACAAAGTAAGGGGGCATTAGTTTTATTATTTAACTACACACGTATATCTTTAAATTTAATTTGGCTGCACCTTTGTTATCCTTTTGCTCCCAATAAAAACCAGGACAAGTCACCCAAAAGGGCCCCATAAATATGACAGAAATAAAAAATGGCTCCAATAGCGTAAAAAAGTTCAAACAATGCTCCAAAAAAGTTCACTTACATTATGGGTAAACTTTTATTGTTTATACAAGTACGATGTTCGCCGAGCAACCATAAGAATTATATTTATATTTACACTTGAAGATTGTAATTTTATGTTAGCTTTAAAAGATAAAAACAAAATCAAAAGAAGACATTGAAAAAGAAATAAACCGGCATAATTAGAAGTGTAAAACATTTTTTTTTTTTTTTCCTTTTTATACAAATTTTTGAGCACATGAAGTATCTTTTAGTTCTTTATACTAATTTCATTATTTTCTCATGTGACTCACTAAATAATTTAAATGGCTTATAGGCTTTTAACGTAACCGTGCTAATCAAATAATTTCTGTTCTTATAGATTAAATTTGTATTAATTTCAAAGTTCTACCTTTTAAGTGGTGGAATAGATACTAAGATACTTTTTCCCTAAGTATATTTGTTCATATACATATGAACCCAGCTAAACGAATGGTTGTTGTTTATCAATCATAATATTTGATTTATGATTGGTTGTTGTTCCTCCACCTCCAACTTCCCTAGTTAATTGCAAAGTGAAAGAGTTAAGGAGATTGCTTCCTGGTGCCCGAGAAAAATAACAAGCAAACAAACCATCTGCATAAGTATGCAAGGAAAACACAATTGTTCATAATACACACACACAGTCTACACAGAAAGAAACCATTTTTGTTATAGGAAATAAAAGAAATAAAACAAATAGTTCTATTATGTTTTTATGTATCTTCATATTTCAGCGATTAAAAAAACTTTTTGTTTTTTATAATAGATTAGCTTTAAGTTCTTTGAATTCTTTTGATTATATAAATTCTTTCTGTGTAGCCTGCTTAGTGTGATTTGTTTTTATTGCCGCCGTGCCCGAGATGCTGTTGTTGTTATTGCTCGCTTATATGTTCGTTTCTAGTTTTGCTTGGGGCCACGTTTTGCGATTGGGGAGGTGGAAGAGGGGGGGGCAAAGGGGCGCGCTTTTAGATGGTGGGGCAGGGGGTGGGAGTTCCGTTTAGTCGGTCACGCCACCACATAAATAAGACGGAACAACAAAGCGTATCAAGATGTTGTTGCCAGCGTTACTGTAGTTACTGTGCCCCTGTTTTTGTTGCTGTTTCTGTTAGTGTTGTTTTTATTGTTTTTGTTGCTAGTGCTGGTGCTGCTGCTGCTGCGGGTCATGCGCAATGCCAATGACGTCAGAGGTTGCCATCAAATTAGGAAATGCGCAAAAAAAACATCCACAAAAAATGGCAAAACAATGAATTTGAATGAGCGCCACATAAATGCAGACACATACGCATAAACCTACAGCGGCAGTTAAAATCGTAGCAATAAAAACAATCGTGGAACTTTTCGACTCTCAATTGGTAAACTCAATTGTTTTTAAGAACCATTAAATTTACTGCAAAAATAGGTAGTAAAAGTCTACGCAGTCATATGTTTTTAATTAAGAAACATTAAGCTTAATCTGGTATGCTAAAAATGGCAATTTATTCAGTTTAAACTGGGTTTAAGGAATACCATTAAATTTCAAAAAAAAATTTAATATTGTTGATATTAATATGATCAATTTTAATTGGGAATCATTCAAAATAAAACGCTTATGTTTTCCAAACAGTTAAGATTGTGTTAAAATGGTGTATATTAATTTATTTGAAATTTTTTCTTTTAAATAAATTTTCAAATTTATTACAAATATGGTTTTCTGTAGAATAACTTTTGCAAACAATATTTTATTACTTGCTGACGCCCCAAACCCCTTTAAACGATCTACACTCGTGACCCCAACTGTGAGTTTGAAAATGCGTCTCGGACATGGCACTGTGAGATTTATGTGTCGCCGTTTAATGAAAGGGGGCGTGTGTAAATCGCGTCAGGCGGTGGGTCGTTGGTGGGGGGAGGTTAATGCCAAAATGCCAAAGTAATGTATATGTATGCAGCAGTCGTCTGGAGGTGTGAATCACCAGGGACCAGGGAACCCTCCTGTCTCCCCGCCCATGGACATCGCAGGGGTTTCTCTGCAGCATGGAAACCCTACAAAAACCCCAAAGCAGACCAAGGAAAACTGCGCCGCAAAATGTAATAATTTACAAGAAGGAGGGCTAAAGTCGAGCAGGGAAATCCAATAACAACAAAAACAGCAAAGAAAAAAACGAAAACACTGAAAGACAGACGCAGAAATCAGCTGTTTGGCGAACTTTGTTCGTTGTGAAGCACATATGATATGGCCAAATGGAGGAAAACTGAGAGAAAAACGAGTCGCAGAGAGTTTCCATCGGAGAGAGGGTGAAAGTATAATAATCACCAAACTCTCGCACACACACACACACAAACACACTTGCCTTGGGAAATTGCCTTGTCCCTAAACGAATGCAAAAGAAACGACGCAATTTTCGCGATTTTTCCAAAGCAATTAGGGAGAGCCCCAAATGACAGAAAAACTATAAAGCTTGGCAAACATTTTGGCAGTTTCCACCAACCCATTAACTGAAATAAACAACCAGCAAATCTTTGATAATGTCTTAAATAAAATTCGCATAAAGGGATTTTCCGCTACTGCAAGTTTAGCCTATAAATATAGTTGAAACGAAAAACACTTTTTCAGAATTGTAATTTTATTAGAAGCTTAAGTTTGCCAAATCAATCAATATATAGTGTGGGGAAAATTCGTTGCATTGAATATTAACAAACTGAACACAGGAAACCTCTTAAATAATTCATTCTTACAATTTCTTCTTTTTTATGAGAATCGCAAGCAGAAAGGGTCGCCTTCATAATGGAATA